CCCATTCTTGTCAAAATTTTCACTCAGTTTTTGACCTCCCCAGAAACGCATAGCAAAAATGAAACCCATTTTTGTGATCCTTGTATGGACCCCTACAACAAGCAACAAACCATTTCCAAAAAGCGCGCCACGACCTGAAAGACCTCCCTTGTCAGAGTCGCCTGCGGTGTGATCTCAGTTAATTGCTTCATGACCTCTCTTCGATTACGCTGCTCACACAGTTATAACATGTTGTAATACTACTTGAAGGATATAAATATGGAAATGTGAAGACTGAATATTGAGTTTCAAACGAAACAAGAGTTTAGAATATTGGAGACCTTTCCTCAACTTGGTTTTTTAAATCAAAGTAACAAACTAACTTTATCGGTGAAATAGTAATTATTATACTTCCTTCAAGTACAAGTATGAGAAATATTAACAGCTTTCATTATAATACATGAGCAGAATTAAACTTGTTGTGTTGGTTACAAATCTTGACATCTTCACACAATATTCTTCTATCTGACTTTCACTCACCCCGTTCAGGGAATGTGGGTCCAGCTGAATTGTAACCTACAAAAATCTGTGAAGTGGTGAAGTAGTACGATGGTGGTGTGAAGGATTGGGGAAAAAGTTGGGGCAAAGCGCCTATGTATAATGATGGATCATGCGGAGACATGGTGGACTGGGGGCCTTGAAGAACCGCGGAGTTCATCCAATATGTAGGTGCATGTTCCTGGTGGCTAGTGCTATAGGAAAGCTGAGGGAGGGAGGGACACGTGTAGAAGGATGATGAGAGCTGCTGAAGATCGTCGCAGAGGAATTCGTGATTCATGCTGTGCTCAAGTGAGTGCATAAAGCAGTGCTGCTGGTTGTTGTCATGTAGCGCCCTTAAAGACCCATGGTACGCTCAGACACTTTGAGAGTGTATGAGACTATCAGCCCCCAGCTGTCGATGTGTCGTGGTCCCCCGCCCAAAACTGCACGGGGTCAGAGTACGGGGCCGTGGGAAAGTCGTAATTCCTTGCTACGCCGCCCGTTTCGCAAACTCACGTTTTTACTAACACCGTCCGCGCGCGTCGCGTGCAGCTCTCTTGGCTTTTTGCCAAGTCCTGTAATTGCGCTTTGGAATACAAGTACAACGCAATTTCTTTATGCGGATAACATTTTAGGTGCTGCAAAATAAGAACCGAAGATGATGACGAGGGCTAGAACTCAAGAGCAACTGTGGTGCTTCTGCAATATCCCTCAGAGGCCGCGCATTCCCACAGAACATGACAATAAAAACGGCCTAAGCGTCCCACTCGTTAGTTTGAAGTATTTCTATAGCTTTAGAGCCGGATTCGAGCCGGATCGCAGAAATGCACACGCGATTTTAATTTATTGCGTTTCCTTAGTTTTTTCAATTTTGTTTTATTTACATCTACATTCGTTGTTCTTCATTTCTAGCCTTTGTCATCTTCATCACCTTCTATTCGGACTTTGAAGCATGAGCAATACCTCAAATGTTAGGAAATTGCGTTTTGCTTGTATTGTCATGTTTTATTGTCATGTTGTCCGTTTTTATTGTCATGTTCTGTGGGAATGCGCGGCCTCTGAGGGATATTGCAGAAGCACCACAGTTGCTCTTGAGTTCTAGCCCTCGTCATCATCTTCGGTTCTTATTTTGCAGCACCTAAAATGTTATCCGCATAAAGAAATTGCGTTGTACTTGTATTCCAAAGCGCAATTACAGGACTTGGCAAAAAGCCAAGAGAGCTGCACGCGACCGCGCGCGGACGGTGTTAGTAAAAACGTGAGTTTGCGAAACGGGCGGCGTAGCAAGGAATTACGACTTTCCCACGGCCCCGTACTCTGACCCCGTGCAGTTTTGGGCGGGGGGACCACGACACATCGACAGCTGGGGGGCTGATAGTCTCATACACCCTCAATGTGTTTGAGCGTACCATGTGTCTTTAAACACTTCTTAACGATGACCTTTTGATCAGGTGTTAGGATGAATGGATGAAATTTAGATAACTAAAAGCGCTGACGGTCACATTCAATGAATGACCCGCTTGAAGGCGGTAATCTCTTCATATATATCGTCTATAAACGCAAATAGAAACTTTCTATCCGAGTTGGGAAAAGGTCTCCACTATGTTTTTTTTCCTTTCAATCATTGGTTTGAAAGTTAGTATTCATTCAGTCTTCACACTTCCGTATTCATATCCTTTGACTCGTGCTATAACATGTTATTTGAAGAGCCTATCGTTGAGAGGTCAGAAGGCAGCGAGCCAGCAATTACAGTCCTCATCATTACAGACCGGTGGGGCGGGTGAGCCGCGCTGCGTGTGACTCGGCTGTGACGCGGCAGCGATGACAGTCGCGTCACAGCCGAGTCACACGCGGCGCGGCTCACCCGCCCCACCGGTCTGCAATGATGAGCACCATAAGTGAGGTCACACCGCAGGCGGCTCTGCCACTATGAGAGAAAGGTGCGAAAAAGTGGACTGCACAAACGTCACATACCCGTGTCAGGTTAGTATAGATCGACTGCCAATTCGTGAAGAAGTAAAAGGAGAGTAACCTACTGTTTTCAGTTTTTCGAATTCAAGGCTATTGGGTACGACAAAGTTCAGATGAAAAACGAGAAAAATGAGGAAGTCTTCCCGAGAATTCGCGATAAGGTAAGAATCCGGTTCTATGGAGCTGAACGTAATTAGTTTCACCCACTTTCCTGCTAGATTTAAATGTGATTCAACTGCCAAGCGCACTGAAGCAGCAGTCGGAAAATTTCAATTTATAGGTGAAAGCTATCTTCTGGCCGGCGGCTTACTTACCAGGCATGAAAACAAAACAGTTCTTTTTATGGCGATCTATGGTGGATCACACAGAGGGAATACCTGAGGTAAACATAGCACTAATTAACATAGTTCTGACGTGAGCAGCTGCCAATTGTCCTTCTAATGGCATTCTGATTGCTCTCGGAGTACCAAATTCATAGGAACATCTTCTATTGCAGATCAAGGGTCCTGTTGTCCGCTACAATCCTCCGTTGTCAAAACCCCTTCGCTGCTACTTGCTTGTACAATTACCTCTCCTAATCGCATGCTTTCTACGATTTGATCAGATCCGTTCGTCCCTCTGCTGGCCTGAGTTCCTTTTCCGATATGCCTTTCTTGTCGCATTTCTGCAAATGTTCGGATACTATCTCGATCAAAGGTTGGTTCTTAATTATAAAAATCAGTCTTTCAAGACCAACAGTACACCAATCTCCGTGGTTCTGCCCTTTGCCATGTGCAAGGTGGGAAGGTCCGCAGCTGCAGTGGCGGGCCACCTTTTCCGTCTTAACGGGCTGAAGGGTATTGTACTGACGTGCGGTCTCCTACTCCGTCCGAGCGGCCGTACTGTTAGCCCCACGCTTGACCATAGCCAACACGCTATGTCCGTGCCCTCTCGCTTCTACTTGTTCTCATCGCTGAGTGCGTGTTTCGCTGCGTGACCTTTGTATCGAGGCCAGGCCGCATCTCAAAGCACAATTCGCTATCAGTCAGAGAAGAGTTCGTCGGTAGCCGTGGTTAAAAACAGAATAATATGTGCTGGCTGACTTGCTCCTGGGGTAAAAAGGAGGGGTACCCGTTGGAAACGCTCCTATCGTGGTCCTACATGTGCTATGCGAGAGACAGAGAATGGATGTGGATATCAGATGAGGGGCCAGAGGCAACAGCGAAAGAGAATGCAAACGAGCAAGACAGCAGATAAGATATACTATCAACGTAGGCGAACTCACATGAAAGCACAGTCCGCGATAAAAAGCCTAGGTGACGTTGCAGAAACTCGGAAGAAAACTCGTCAAGTGAACCCTCTATGAAGAGATAATGCCAAATAGAACCTGAATGTTAAACACATCAAATTTTTAGTGCGAAAGGCTCAAAAGACACAAAAGGATCCAAAAAGTTTTCACAAAGATTTTCATCGTTTGAACTCCTTCTTCTTCGAATATTTCGGTGCCTAGCACCTTCTTCAGCGATCTGAAATACTACATTTAGCCGCCTGCACCCGAATCCTGAACCTTGCCTTCACTGGTGTCTCCGTTCTGGAGCTGCCTCCAGTAGTACAATATGCCGCCGCTGCTCCTTGCGAACGCCGCGCCTTCTAGTGGTGACTGTGACCCTACCCGTTACCCTCCTTAAATAGTGAGGATGCCTAGTGAGCGCTTCTGCATATGATATCACTGACCGCTCCACCATTATCACGTAGTCAGTGAATCAACTGCAGCGCGTCACGTAGCTCATCCCTACTATTCATTTCTGGAGGAGAGCCTTCTTATTTCCAGTGCTTCTAATAGTTTTCTTTCCACCGGATTTTCTATGGAACGGTGTAATACTGTAATGGTGAAGTGCGGGAGGACCTTCGTGTATATGCATTTTGGTGCGGTGCTTTGAGAGACTGTTATCCGGATATGAAGCTGGATTGTGTAGGGCCCTGCGATGTTCATCTAGTCGTTTGAGAGTGGCCTCTTTGTCTCTCCAATGTACTTTTGCCCGCATCCCTGGCATTCTATCAAATATACCGTTCCCCTAAGTTGACATATTTTTCTATCATTACAGTATGTGCAGCTTCCTCGTCCACATTTTTCTTCATAAGGCCTGGAGTACGTGAGTAGTCTTTTAAGATTTGGTGGTGGACGGAATATGAGACGTATGGGGAGTGGTGAGCCTTTAACTATGGTGTTAACTTTTACCGCCGTACTCTCATTGAGATATGGCATTACCAAGGGAATCCCATCCGGTGTCGAGTACGGTCTCCATGTGTTAACACGTGTATTGATGTATCCATTATCCCCGAGAATTCGGTCCACCATTGTATCTACTCGTTGCGACCGCTGCGTACATGTCCGTTCCTTTTCTTGATCAAATTGCGAACTACGTTCGCTTTCATATATGACGGGTGGCAAGTGTAGTAATACATTTTTTGACGCCGGTTTCTTATACCAGTACAGCTGTTTGGTTCCGTGTTCAATCCTGACTTTAGTATTCAGGAATGGGACATATCCCTCCTCATCTGGGTTCTCCACAGTAAACTTGATGTTTGGGTTTTGCGAGAAGGTGCTAGGCATCAAAATTAAGAGGGACCGTCCAGGGAGAAGTGTACTGCTTGTCTTCAGTATTTGCATATCTGATGGTGAGCTCATTTCGTCTAATGAAACTTGTTGCAGTCGTTACTCAGTGATCTTCGACGCATCACGGTTGACGCTATCGATATTGCTCGGACAGATTCTGGGCGACTCCTCGATGATCACTTATGATTTGATATCGCTGGCGACTATCGTTTGGCTCGCATCATGGAATGAACTACTTTTACCACACCCCAGTCTGAATTCTTTGTTTTTCCTATGTTGAAGAACATTATAATGCATTGGTGGATTTGGAATTATATGAATCTCGGTGGTATACGTCCTTATTCCTGAAAAAAATATGCATATGCAGTAACGGAATGGCTCATGAGTAACGACGGGCACAGTTCGGCGACGGATGGGATGGGGCATTCCGCTCTTTTGCTGCTTCACTACTTCCGGTTTACAAGGTCTTAGGAACAAGGTCAAGGTGGTGAAACTTGTGAACTCTTGTGAAACTGGAGCAAGCTCGTCCAGTCGTAGTAAAACATGTCAACCCAAGAAAAGTCCATCTAGATGGGTCAAAGGGAAGCCAAATGCCCTCTCCCGGTCGCCGAACTGCGCTGTAAAGACGTCTCACCTGAACTGGAATACTGTGTAAACGAAGAAGCGCCTCGCAGGTAATTTCTCACCATTTTATAGCGAATCTCTTGCTTTACGAGCATATGTGCTTACATTCTGTGAGGGATCAAGTTCTACTGTTTTCAAAATAAAATAAACATTTTCTACTCATTTTGCTTTTGTGTTCAATCAACTTAAATGAATATGAGGTGACTGAGTAGCCCTCTTGTGTTCGGAGGGTTCAGGGAAGTAATCTGTGCGACTCAAAGGTTTCAATTTCAATCTTGCTAGAATCCACACCGCTTTGAAACATAGGACACGATAGTTTGGTACTGGTCCAAAATGGTAGCAGGCCATACAGTGGAAAATAGTGAAGTGAAACATTCAAAACCTGCAAAAAAAACTAGTGTCTTACACCACTCAGCAGTTTTTGACGAGTTTCCCGCTGGCATCGTGCCAATGACCACTACGGTAGTCACCGGTGCAAGTATGTACCCATACCACCATGTAGCATCGCAGCTGCTTTCTTCGCCTACGCTATACTGTACATCGAGCAGTTCTTGACAATAGGAGCACTCAGAGGTTGTGCATTGGGCGGGCGGGCGCGATGGGCGTCCGGATTGGTGTGTTAGTCGCTGGCGCCACGCAGCACTTACTCAGGGACGCTTGATTCAGTCCTGCAAGGCACGTTAGTATTACGTCTTGGAGATTTATCGTCCCATCTGCCTATTAGGAACACCTCGCTAACATGAGACTCATTCAGCAGCGCTTGGGAAGCTCAAAATTGAAGAGCACCATTTGAGATAAAGAGCACCTAGTTGGCGCATGAAACGGAAATTGTGCAAGAAAATCCTTAGAGGCCTTCTGGAGTTCCTCAAGAAATTCAGTGATGAACAGATGAGACCAGCATCGTTCATTTACTAGTGAACTTTCTCCATTCTTACTGGCGAGCTGTAGAGTAGTACATCATTTCGTGGGCCTACTTGAATCATCAGTATCTTATCAGGAGACTTATCAGAAGAGGTGTTATGCGTCTCTGCGAAGTACGTCTCACTCGCTTCTTGCCAACGCTGGTTAGCGTACTCCTGACGGTAAGCGCAGAAGGTGGAACCTTAGTCAAACCACCAGTTTTATGCGTTGGGTGTTGTGGATTCACAACCATTGAAATAGTGTATATTATAGGACTAGCATATAAGAGTGAGTGATAACGTTATAGTTCAGCATATATCCTTAGGGAACTCTTGAGATAAGCACCTCTTAAGATGATACCGCAGGCACGACCTCGCGGTATCATGAGTGTGCAATCAAGTACATACCTCATCTTCCCGTTGGCGCGGTGCGCCCTTTCACTACCTTACTTACCTTATTTCAAGTACCGCCATCGGTACAGTTATTGAGCACCGCCCACATTCGTCTGTATATATACCCCCTAAATTCGTTATTAATATACCCCGTAAATTATCGTTTTTTAATGATCGGTATCATACAGTCGGTACAAGCCTCCCGTAAATCTCACACGTGCAAGTACTTCATGGTTAAACACCACAATGGTGGATCCCCAGGTTCTCAGACGTAAATATCCGACCTCGAATTCGTTTACTCGAAAAGACGGACGTTCAGTTCGGAAGCGTTGGCCGTCAGCTGAATAAAAAAATTCCCCTCATCAAGGTCAGCCACCGAAAACTACTGATTACTCTAAGTAGTACAAGACCTATCAATATTGCAAGAAGAACTGACTATGCCGAGATTGCAAGAAGAAAGAGGAAGAAAATGGAGATTGCTACACTCCTGTTGACTCACGTCTATGACGGTAACCTTGTTCCGAACGCATACTTCAGGCCAGAGTGGAGCAGCTGTGGCAAAGGTGCACGTGGTAGAACGGGCCCTGCCAAAATATTCATAGTGGCAGAGTGCCCGGCGTTTCCCTCTTCTCGGTCTGGCTCGCAATCCCGATCGGTTACCACGGAAGCCCACCATCCTACCGTAACTCACCAATAACGGCGACTGAGTCCATCCTCGATTTTTCCACAGGATAACTTACGAATTTCGTTTAAAGGCAAGGCCTGCGATCATTCGCCATCACAGATAGTGGTATAGTAATTCGCATATAGACGGCAAGGATTTGAGTTACTCGATAGTGAAAAAAAGCAGAAAAAAACATTCCAAGTGCCCTAAATATTGTCCCGTTCCAGGTCCAGTTGTACGTGCCCAATTACCTCCATCTTCAACACTACGCCCTCATCCACACACCTGATTCCCCGATGAGAACTCTGCGACCGTACAAGTGATGATTTTAATGCTGTTTCGTCATGGAACTTGGTTTTTTACTGAAAGGTGTGGGCTTGAAGCGGAGTCTGGAGGCGGAGTCATTGGAAGGAGGCGTCACTGAACCTATATTGCGCTATAGCGCCCCTCCCTTACAATTTTTTGCCGCGAAACCGGTACAAGGTTGTTCGTCGCGGACCACTTTACCCTCCCGACGCCATATTTTCAACTTCTATATCTGATGGCGGACCGTATCTTTACTCCACTGAAATGCGCTTCAATCTGATCATATAGGCTGTTGGAAATGTGTCGTGTGTGTGGACGAGTTCGAAGATATTCGCGACAGGACCAATCCACTCCGTTGGCGTTTGTTTGCTTTTGCCTGTGATGCGTTTAGGACGCCTAAACAATACACTTGCAAACGCGACGTCGCGGCCATGCCCTGCAGCATTATCACCATGCCATTGTCCAGAGCGTCCCCCTCTTGCACCCACACATGGTCCTAATGTACTAGAGATAAGTGAGTAACCGTCCACTTCCTGCTTATCTGCACCATCGGCACCAATCAGGTAGGTAGTCCTGCGGCACAACCGGGAGACGGACAAGAGAATCATTAATCGCCGCTCCCTCGCACGCGGCGTTTTTTAACTCGTGTTAACTTGTCGATTGGAGCACCGGACTTCATGTAGATCCCGTCATCGGTGACAATTATGACTATTTTCAAATTGGCTGTTGCCTACTATCCGAAACCATCGTTATTTGCAGGCGCGACGTAGGCGACGCCCATCAGCGCGACGAATTACGATTCTCTTGTCACATACCCGGCACAACCACGTTGCCGCTGACTTGTCATGACAGGTGGGAATGCGTATGTGAAATTGGGAGACGTGCCATTCCATCCCGAACATAAGAGGTCATGATGCGTCGCGCGCGGTCAGGATGAGCGACCATACGGTATACACGAGTGTCGCTTTAGCGAGGAATTCTCTTTCGTTCGCAAGGCATCCTTCAGGGTAACAATGGGATAGTATCTCGTAATGAACGAGCTGTGAGCCAAAGTACTCGTACGCCAAGGCTGCAACGTCGCGCGCCACACCCACTACTGCGCTAACCTACGATAGAAGCGCCACATACCCCGGAAAGTTGGCTAGGAATTACAAATTTATATGGTCTCGATGACTGACGACCTATATGAAGCTGTATAGTTGATTTCGATGCATTTTTTGCTCAGGCCGGGCATCTCCCATTGTTCAGTTAGGAAAATTCTGTATCTATAGTTCTGGACGAGTTTTCCGCCTGGAGCAGCGCGAGCGTTTCGCGTAACAAGGCCATCGCGTGTTCACATGCATTTCAACAAACGCTCGGGGCCATGGAGCGCGTAGGTTGCTTAAGCATGTTCCAACATGTTTCAACATGATATTTTCATGTTGAACAAGTCTACGCGCGGTCGCTGTAAAAATGAAGTCTAACAGCCCTTATAACGCCCAAAAAAGACAATCGATATCTGTGTGTTGTCTGCGCCCTCCCACGGAGAACGCTTTCCCTGGGTTCACTTGAACCTTATAGGCTGCACCTCCGATAGAAACACGTTTTTCAGCAACGTGCATACGTTTTTTAAAAGTTGCCTAGTAATAGACAGAACGAGGTCCTTCTTTTTTTTTTTTTTTTACTCTTGAATTTCTCGCAGATTCTGTGGAAATTTTTGGCTGCTCTTACACAGTAAGAGCTACCTCAGGGGGAGCCAAGGAAAAGGGTGGGTGCCGCCAAGTCCGGACCAGCTCCCCCAGCAAGGCTCGGCACATGGCAGACGACCAGAGTCTCCGCGGTCCATACCGCACGGCCGAGATCGGCGTGCCGCCGCATCCCACCCCCTTCCTCCCTTCGCCGCTGGCTAATACAGTTTGGACGCGCTGGCTTTTGGCTGCGAGCTCATTTTTAATACGCTGAAAACTTGTATACAGGAGTTTTTCAACATCCTGATTTCGGATATAACTTTCAAGCGTGGCGTTGGCGGCTATGGAGGACAATACGATTAACTTGACTCAGCCTTAGCAGAGCACAGATAATCTTAGAGTCCTCTTTCAGCGCCAGCGCCAAAAATGAATGTCATATTTGTGAACAGGATGTTAGATTACCCCTATATACAAGTTTTCAGCGGATTTGGTGATTTGGGCACTTTGAAAATGAGCTCGCAGCCAAACGCCAGCTCAGCCTGAACTGCATTAGCCCCATCCCCCCTAACTACCTTTATGGATAGGACGAAAGTACTGCAAGTAGGATCGTTTTTGCGGCAGACGCTGAGCGTT